TTGACTTTTGGAAATTAGATGGAGAAAACTATATGTTTACCTGTAGTGTAACTGCCAGTGACTCTGGATTTCTGTGTTTATTACCAAAACTACTGAAAACTGTTAGCCTGCTGTTACCCATAATTGCAATGTCTGAAACTTATTTGCATGAATCCCATAAGGGGGAATGAAAATCCTTCGGTCATTTAAATATTTTTATTAAATGTGACGCACCCTATGGAACAGGTTTGTAACTCCCAAACACAAAAACTTGTTCATATTCAGTCACTGCCACTGTCTCACCTATAGGAGAGTAACAGATGTAGACATGATGACATTGCCACCTTCGGGAAAGAAAGCTATAGCTGCAGCAGTTTCAACACCTGGTGCAGGTGTTGAAACTGTAGTCAGCGAATGTTACAGCTGCGGTAATCTCTTTGGTCAAAAGGTAGAAATCCTACAACACAGAACGCACTGACCCCGTTGCCTTTCAAGGCCACTCCCACTCCCAAACTTCCCCAACTACTACAAACACTTAGTCAGGGCTACTAATGTTAAGCTAAACTCTGATAGCAATGCTAGTCTTAAAAGGGCCTCGTAAAAAATGTGTATTGTAGGTTTTCACACTGTAAGGTTGCCGTGCTACAGCACACTGTCGCAATTGCACTTACTCTGTGCTCAGACGCTGGCTTTGGTTGTTTTTTACGGTTTCTTTGAAGTGTATCTCAATCACTCCTGTGTCCATATGTGGCCCTAATTGTTGGTGCAACTCTACTTCTGTTTCAATTGGTGCACATTTATGGCCGAGGTGCCACTAGTTGCCCCTGGCACAGAGCAGCCTTCTCTTGATCCAACTGTCCGTGGAGGCGGCAGCCCCAGAGCCGGCAAAAGTCCGCCTGCTGATGCGAAAATGAAGAACCATTATTCATTTGAATATACTATACACATTGTAATGAAACAAGGCTGGTTGAAAATCACAAAGTTTTCCTTTAAAAGATTTACAAAAGCCATTCAATTACTTATTTTGTTGAGCTGACAACATCAGGCTATTTAACTAATGTTTCCTTACGGAGGTGTCTTCTGTTCAGCCAATACTTTATATCACAAATCCAATGAACTGTAACTGGGTTCATTTCAATCTGTAGTGTTAGATAAATAACCGACCCCAGTACATTTAAATATTGTGGTGACGCAAAATTTTGTGAATTATTTTTATCATTAATTTCCCTTTCTAAACTTCTTAGTAAAGACATGTAAGCCTAAATGTTGATTGTCTGTAGAAAGCCTTGGACATCTTCTCAGGATGTTCCAGTTAAAATCAACAGCTATTGTCAGCATCAGCAGACTTTACTGTTACTCTGTCAATTAAGGTTCTTGTATACAGCACACATCCTGCAGCATTACACTCAGATCTACAGCTTGAAAATACATTCTTAAAGGATCCAACCAACGTCCTGGAAATCTGCAAGCTGTTTTAAGTAAAAAATTTACGGCTGTCCCTGACTAAGGATTTACATAGTCGAATCATAATCGTCAAGCCCTGCCTATAGTCGACTGACAGTCGAATCATGTGTGTTTTTTTTGTGCACGACGATTGCAGGAGGGGGGGGGGGGTAGCTTTAATCTTGAGAAGCTGCAGAGCTGCAGTCTCTCTTCATTCAACTTACACTGTAAATTTCCAGCTAAACTGAGGCGCGCTCTCTCTCTCTCGCCTGTCATTCACCGGTCCGATAACTGCATGCATGTCGCGTTTCCTTGCGGATTTATTTCAAGTAGCCGGCTATTTAAAAACAATAAAATATTCTTTATGTGCTTCATCAACGGTGATAAATGAACCGAAAGTCCCGCGAGGTGCGAACAACTCGGAACAACACCGTAAAGCTGCAGCTCCTTCTCTTCAGCAAGCGTTCCTCCACTGCCACTACACATATCCACGCTACGCTTACACATGCGCACAGACGAACCAGGGTTAGGCTGACAATTTTGGATTTATTCACGCACTTTAAAAACATTTATTGAAAGTTTTATTCTTTTTATATGTTTATTTACACATTAAACATTGAAATGTATATTGTAATAGGCAGTATATTAACTTATTGGGAGAAAACTGGTAGTTCTATGCAAAATCAGACGTTGAGCACCCCCATATCGCCAAAAAGGCATGATCCTTGTTTCGCTGCGAAGCTTCGATTGTGAGATTGACAGTCGAATCAGGCTCCGCCCATCGAAGCATCGATTCTTCACTATTCGGGGTCAGCCCTAAAAAAATGTATCCCTTTCAAGAAAATCTTGGTGATAATTTGGGTAAAATAAAATTACACACAAATGATTATTAGGAAAAGATTTTACAATAATGCAACAGAGTACTAACAAAGACACAATTTGTTCTAATTAATTTAATAAGTTAAATTCATTGTCAATCATTTTTTACATCCAAAGCATTGTGGCCAAGGTAAGACTGACCACAGGGAGTACCGTGATTTTTCTCAGTGGGCCGCTGCACAGTTGGGCCACATATTAAAACGGTTAAAACACAGACCTAACCTCTAGCCTGGTTATTTGTGCTGGATAAAAAACATGCGACAAAATGCAAAGGTGGTGCTGAAAAGTTGAGGGAGAAAAAAAAGGCAGTCGCATGAGACAGGTGCAGCAAAGTGCCTCAAAATCACAAGCTATTCTTTTGGCGCTGCCACCAGTGGAGACAGCAGTGACGATTATGGTGGTCCCAGTACCAGCGCTGACATGGGTGAATGTGAGACAGACAGCAGAGAGGAGGGCAACAGAGTCAAAGCCAGCACAGCCCCCAGAGCCCTGACAAAGCACCAATGATCTGGTGAGATAGATGACTGACAGTGTTATGTTTTAGGGGTATACTAACATAATATCCTAATCCTAAATGTAATACAAATATACAAAAAGACTCCACTGAAAAGTAACAAATACTATTGTTGACTGTTATGCCAAACATTTTCCATGCATCATGTATCAGCAAAGTGAGGTGAGTGAGGGAATGAGTGAGTTTCTGCAGCTATAAACAAAATGTACAAGTCACACGCTTGAACGTTTGTGTATTGGTTATTTTACCAATTTTTTTGTACAGATAGAAATTGTGCAAATTTTTTATTGAATGGCCTGTAGGGTTTTTTATTTAGTTTTATTCTAATGGTTGATTTGGTGTATAGGCAGTATCTTTTTATTTCATGAGGTGGGTTGTTCATATTTTATTGCATCAATCTATTTTTATATCTATTTAACCTTTATTTAGCTTCACTGAGAAGAAGCCTCTCTTTTGCAGGAAGACCCTGACCACATTCACACCGTTACACACCTGGAAGCTGCCCAGTACAACAACAGCCTGACCTGCTGGCCACTAAGCAGCTCAGGCTGGAGCTGTTTGAGTTATGGGCCTTGCTCAAGGGCACCTCAGTGGTGGTAAATGAGGGAGAGCAAGCTGCTTGGTTTATTTTCCACACCCAGATTTTTATCCTGTCGGTACGGGGACTGAACCGGTGACCTCCGGTCACAAGCTCGCTTCTGGGACCACCACGGCCACTTCAAATCTTTGTTTCAAGTTTTGAAAATGTATTTTAATGTCTCATTTTGTGATGGAGTGTACTTGGTAGCACTTTATAATAATTACACACTATAAAGAATTAGTTAAGCATTAGTAAATAAGGAATTCATCATTTATAAAGCATTGTTCATACATTAATACACATTAGTAAGTCATTCATAAACACAGTTATAAATGTTTTATTCTTTGTTATCTACACACTATGAAGCAGTTGTTAAGTATTAGTACATTTTTAATTCATAATTTATAAACCATTGTTCTTACATTAATACATGTAAGAAACATAGTTATAAATGTTGTATTCTTTATTAATAAGCTTATCTATCATACTTTATACATGATCGGCTCACTATTTATAAATGAAGTATTATTTTAATGACAAACCATTTATATATGAGTTGTTAATGGTTCATAAGATCATTTGGAAAGTTTAAGAAAATTATTACATAACTGCCTGTTTTTGATACTTTCTCGAGAAAGAATATAAACAATCTCAGCATAACTTGCTACTGAGACTACCCGAAAGATTACATTATTATTATTCCTAACTGAAAATGTATCTACTAATAAGAAAGAATCAAAATAATCAGAATCATTACAATACCTAACTAAATAAATGTTTACATGTATAGGCTTGTGGACATTTATTCATTTGAATGAATTGATTACTGATAACTTTGCAATGAAACCATTTATCGTTTGTGCATATTCAGATTGGACACTCTACAATATATTAAACAAAAGATAAAGCTCTAGCAGCTTGTTGCAGCTGCTCCCTTGTCTTGCTGATAGGTGGCACAGCTCTGACTGGAACAGATCCAGAACTGCAGTTCTGCATGGATAATACATTATAACAATAACATTCATAGTGGAGTAACACATATTCCACTAAAGCAATAAATAAATACTATAATTACAGCACATATCCACTCTGCTACACATGTTAAAAGAATGGTAAATTCACTTTTTTCTCATTGTGATGACAATATTCAAGCGCCAGATCGCTGTTTTTTATGCTTACACCATTTGGTTTAGCAAGCTGCTCAGAGAAGTCTGCTCCAAGCTGCATAACTTGTTGTGCTGTGGTGCGTTCATGTGCTCTAAGGAAACTCCATCTATCTATTGATGAACCACAGCCTTTTTAATGGAAGAACATGCAAATCTACATCATTCTTAGTGATGGCAAATACACTGACGTCTTGTTTATTTTCTGAATTTTAGTATATTACAATTTAGCCTGTCATTGCAGTGCAGTTTCGACAGTCAACACCAAAGTTTTGTCCACAGCATCACAGTAGCAGCTGAATCCACCCCACACAGACACAGAGCAGCCTTCATTAATTTTGTCCTCATCCCACACAAGAAGGATCTATTCGCTATTACACAGAACTCTCTTAAGATTGTGTTACCTCTATAACCTTGGCCAGAAAATAGTGGATCAGGTGAATAAAGATTGCAGGCTCCATGATGTTGTTTATTTCTCCCAGAGTGCCATGCACACACAGCATTTCTGAATTGGCAAGAGTAAATGTTGAGACCCAGATGATTTGTACCAGCCTGGCAAAATCATCCTCCATGGCAACAAGGTCAAACAAGAGACAGTTTATCTATAACTTGATCTGAGCTGCAGTATGGCTAATTTGTGAATACAGTGACACAGTCTGCATTTGCAGATTCAATACAATGTCTTAATGTAAGTTTGCTATTGCAAATGATACAGACAGATAACAATCAAGAGTAGAAAGTAACAGTTGTTGTTGAAAGAAATGGGCTTTAGAGAACTGGAGCTCAGCCCAGCTCTACTGATGCATGCTGGTCCACGGGCATGAAGGCAGGTTTGAAGGTTAATTGCTACCAGATGTTCATTCTCACTAGTTTGTTAATCAAGTAAAATGATCAGCTTCCCGTAGTGAAGAGTCCATGCTATAGTAAGCCCATATTTACAACCTGAAAGTAAGTACAGTAGATGATTAATCCATGTTTTAGGGTTGAATGTACTGAAGTTTGATCTTGGGTTTGAGTCTAATTCACTCAAGAGCTTGGGTTCATTTTGACCCCTTGCACATTTATAGTATTTATTTAACTATTTAAACATATATTTTTGGGGAATCAAAAAATGTTTTGAGTTCACACTGTGCTACATTACAGAGAAATGCAAATGTACTGTCCTCAGTAAATCTGTTGTATATAGTTTGACAGCCAGCTCCTAAACTCCTTCCTAACATCAAGACTCTAAAGACAGTTTGTGTCTTGTTAACAGGTTTAATGACGTTGCAAGGAAAGGTGAAACTGAAATGTACAAAAGCATAATATTTGCCATGCTTGGTTTTAACACATACAGAGATACAGAACGTAAATATATACAAACTCAAACTCTAATATGAATTAAATCTCATTGTGTTTTTAACATGCAATCAATTATCTGTTCATTGATTAATTTGTAATCGTCCTTCTATGAACTTCCAATATGACTTAAGAACTGTGCTGTCATTAGTAATGGCAGATTCTCATATCAAACTTCACAAACATAAAACTGTCCTAAAATAATAAACTCTGAGGTTGTAGACAACAATAAACAATCAATCCATACCCACGATGTTGCCAAAGGCGTAAGATGTATGCAGATGTCACTGGATTAGCTCAGATGTATCTTAAAAAAACAACTGTCTGTGCCATGCTCACTTACTTCCTGAACTCTAGCCACAAGATGTACTTCCTTGTTTCTTAAAGTGACCACATTGAAATACATAAAGAAATAGTTTTGGAAAAACTAACTAAACTTAGTTGTAACAAAACCGTAATAATGAGTCTTTAAAATCCAAATTTTACGTGCTCAAGCACGAAGCAAGCTGACTGTTAATGAGAATTCCATCACAGTGTGCCTGTTCTCATCCTGTGGTGTTTTAGTTTTAGTTCAACAGAGACAAACAGCGTCCTAATAACCATAGTAACTCAGTCACTTCTGCCTGCGTGCGCACAGGAGAGGGAGAGACACTGACTCTGAGCAGCATGCATGGAAATACATTAGTCTACAATATAATATAAATTCCTCACAAACCCCAGTCCAAATCCCAGTTTGGATTGGTGGACACACCTCCTCCACTCTAGTGCTCAAAACCGAAGCCCCCCAGAGCTGTGTGCTCTGTCCCCTCCTATTCATGTTGTACACCCACGACTGCATCTCCCAACATGGAGAAAATTGTTGTGATGTTCGCGGACAACATCACCATCATCGGCTAGATTTAAAACAACGATGTGACTTCATAATGGGAGGAAATTGACAATCTTGCAAAGTGGTGCTCAGAGAACAACCTACTGCTCCACATCAGCAAAATCGATGAGCTGATCGTTGATTTTAGGAAGAAGGAGATAAAGACACACACTCCACTACATCAGTGGAGCTAAGGTGGACAAGGTGAACAGTTTCCGGTTCCTGGGAAACAGCATCACAGAGAACCTAATATGGTCATCTCCACACTGGTGAAGAAAGCTCAGAAACGACTGTATTTCTTTAGGAAGCATAAGAAGGCCAAATTCAGTTTTTACAGAGCAATAGAAAGCATCTTGACTGGAGACCGGAGGGCTCTGCAGCAGGTGATTAAAACTGCTCAGAAGATCATTGGTACCCATCTCCCAAGCATCAGTGATATCGGTGAGGTGAGGTGCACAGAGACCAAAGGATACTAATGGACTTTTGTCAATTAGTACAAGGTACTAAGGTATTATTTCTCAGTTTTCCCCAGTTGGGCTGAATAACTCACTAGTTTTGGAAGTTGTTGCTTTTTAGAAATGAATTTGCTGAGGGTCTGTAAAAGGTAGGCAGAGGACCAAACCACTGGAAGGCATATGAGGGGGGAGGGCATAATCTTTCAAAACTTAAAAAAGGCATTGGACTGGTATTAGACAACGAGAGCTTTTTGTGTACCACATTTAATGACTAGACACTGATGAACAACAATGGTTATATTTAATTTATTTTTGGATCAAATGCATTGTTACATAGACAATTCAGTAGTCGCTAGACATTGGTAGGGACATGCCTCTAGATTCATAATAATAATAGAATAGTAGAGATTGGACTTTTAAAGACATCCTAAACCTAAGACTAAATGAAACTTCAGAATAAAATAGGATTGCTTGGAAGGAAAAGGACCTGGGCAGGCAAAATGGTTCATACTAGCCAGCTCATTTCCTCTGCCTTTGGAAAGTATGCCACCACTGGCATAAGTCCTGATGGCAACACTCATTAATGATGCTGTAAATTCATTCCAATTTTGTTTTCCAAAAATAACAAAGCAGTGTAGTTTTTAAGAATGAGGTGGGAAACCTACAGTAATGCCTGTGTAAATTTAAACACAAAAGTCAAGGCTCTATACTGTGAATGTATTATCTTTTGGACAATCAAGTAATTTCTACCAACTTTGCATTAGAAGAAATGAGAAATAGTGGGCTCTGTATTGTTATAAAGAATTGAACAAGCATCCCTCTGATTCTTAGGTGTGTTTCTGACTATAAAGTATGATTTATCTGCATTGTGTAAAGCATAAAGATGAGTGAAAAGGCAGATTGAAATAGGAGTGCACAAGTTCAGTTTAATCTAAAACTGTTTTTAGATGTTTAGCCACTTCACTTATTAAATTTTTGTTTACTGCATTAAAAGCCTATTATTATTATTGAATGCCAGTGTCCTTGGCTACAATTACAATACAGTCAATGTTTTGCACTGCCATCAGTTGGCTCTCACTGCCCAGACGTGTCTTTGGATGATGGCAACCTTAATGAATATGTAGTGGTGGAGAAATTATTACATATGCATCATATTGAGGCTTTGCGGTAAAATTATTATAATCACAGTGTTTTCCTGTATCAAGTTTGAATCCACTTAACTTGTTATTTTAAATCTATTATTCTACATTCTGTACTTCAACAGCTACAGTAATGTGTGTGAATGTTTGTGTTATTGTTGTAGTCCTGCTGGGATCTCCAAGGACAGCTCTGTAGCTCCACTAAATCCTGGAGGGGGCAGGGTGGCTTTCCCTGATTCAAGAACATTGATAAACTGCTTTTACTCCTATTCCTTAAGGTGGGATCCAAGGTTCACCGCTCTAAGAGTTTTATGCCAGTAAGGACTAATTTCCTAGCCTTGGATGCTCCATAAACACGGACCTAGAGCTTACATTATCCTGTATGATGGAGAGGAGCTGAACAGTTGCGTCATTGTGCCCAAAACAGAAAACTATGTGTGCAGCATAAACTCTCAATTGGTTCATGGTATGCTGAATAAATTCAGAAGTTTATTTTAGCGCAGGCCATTAAACAAACCTCACACATTGGAGTTTAAATGAAACACATACCTTGAAGTATCATGCCTAACCTTGCCGAATTGTAATTGTCAACTGACAGAACTAGTCTATGGCACTTCATCAAGTGAGCAGGAGAAATGACTGCGTGCTGTAAACAGGGATTTGGGGATTAAGTCCCCTTTATGTGGGAAGATAAAAGACAGGCTGGATTAGAAGAGCAATGATTAATGTTGAGTTGTGCATGGACAAAGACCAATAAATATTCAGTTATAATCCTCCAGTCTATAATCAAGATGACAAACACAAAACCTGAACTTGGAGGTGGAGGTAGTGAGGATGGAAAAAACAAATGTAAATCAAGGCATGAGAGACACAGGACAACACTGGCTTTGTGTGTGTTTGTTCTTTGATAATGTTCTTCTGGGATGTAATTTGATTGCTAAAAAAATCTGAAATATTCAGTCCGCTATCATCAAGTAAATGGTCTGTACTTGTATAGTGCTGTTCTAATTTTTCCGACCACTTAAAGCTATTTTACACATTCATCCCATTCACACACATTCATCAAACCACTGACCTTCTGATATAGGGAAGACCGCTCCGATTGAGCCAACAGCCACCCCATTTAAGGAATACGCCATGGTTTCACTATTTGGTGATAAGGAAGGCATTGTTTTAAAGGAACAGTTCAAAATTTTGGGAAAAAATGTTATTGGTTGTCTTGTCGACAGTTAGACAAGAAGGTCATTATAACTCTACTATCTGTATGCTAAATATGAAGCCATGAGACAGTTAGCATAGAGTATCATAAAGACTGGAAGGAAATGCCTAGCCTGGCTCTGTCCTAAGGTTAAACCTCTACTTACCAGCACCTTTAAAGCTCACTAATTAACACAATATATCTTGTTTGTTTTTATACAAGAGCTGAAGTTTACAAAGACACGTTGTGATTTTATGCAAATGAGAGCATTTCCCAAAATATCAAACTACTCATTTAAAAGAATTACAAATGTGGGTGTTTTTTTATTTTTATAAAGTGAAGTGTAGAATTACCAAATCATTCTAACCCAGTACAGTACATTACTTTAGAAGTCAGAAAGTTGTTCTGCATTGATTTTTCATTCAAGTCAGTGTGCAAATGTGATCTCTGTTTGGGGAAGTCAAATAAAAAACACATTAAAGCCTGTAATTGATTATATTAGCTTCTCTTTTTGAGCTTATCAGTTATACTCATTACTAATTTACATTGTTCATTGCCTTAAAGGAAGAAATATCAAGTTGTAGCCCCTTTTTAAAAATTTATTTATTATTCTAATTACATTATTACATATCTCAATGGTTATGCCAGAGGCACAGCACACATGTGCATATTGTAGGACAATACAACAAATACATTTATACATAAACCATGACTATTGTCAGATGGATCATGAGTCCTCAGTCCTTGTCACAGGATTGAAATGAACACAAAGTAAAGCAGAGGGACAGTAAATGTGCACGGTTTTACACAGACTCATGAAGTGTAGTTCATATGAGTATGAGCTGAGTCATACATTCATATGTAGTCTGACTAATGAGAAGGAAATGCAGAGGAATGTTTTGCAGATAGGCCAAGCTGAGCTGGATATGTTGGTAAATTAAGCTGTAAACCCTTGATATAGTTATTACAGGGACATTGGTGACATTGTACTAGGCAGCAAATTGAAACAAATGAAATGCCTTTAATAAATAAATGGCCTGGTCTGTTTATAAAAGATAGCTATGGTGAGTCAAGTAGTTAATAAAGAAGCCACAGGGAAAAAACCAGGATATTATGTCATCCTTAAATATTACCCTACACTTTCCAGAGGTGAAGTACTGTACTCCCATCATGAAAATGTGGCATTGATGAAGAGATATTTTGTTCTTATCGTCCAAGACTTACTCTGAGCTATTTGGCCAAGACAAAGAAAAAGGAGCTCATCTTCTGAATACCAAAGAGGAGGGTAAAATGAGGATAGATAACCAATTAGTGAGATGGAGAAAGAGAGCGAAAGTCTCCAAAGACTGTTTACTGGGGCGCCCAGGGTTCCTCTTGCCACCAAATTGCAAGTAATGTGGAGGAGATGGTCCAAGACATGTTCAGAGATGTTGCTGCTATGGACCCCTGCCGACACAAAACAATCCCTTGCTGAGGAAGATTAGGTTTCATTGGAGAATTAAATATCAGACTTGGTTTTTGTTTGCTTTTCTGTCTATCCTCCTCCCTTTCTCTTTGTGATTCACAAGTTGATCCACATGACATAATAATAGCGTCTGAGGGAAAAAAAAGATCCTTTTGGTTGCTCTCAAATTGGAAGTACATCTGCAAAATCAAGCTAGAATCTGCATGTAGCTGTTCTAAT